GAGGCCACAGCTTGAGTACTGTATTCAGTTTTGGGCAACCCAGGATAAGAAGGACATGGAGGTGCTGGAGCAGGTCCAGAGAAGGGCAACAAAGCTGGTCAAGGGACTGGGGATCATGGCTTGTGAGGAGCAGCTGAGGGAACTGGAGTAGTTTTGTCTGGAGAAGGGGATGCTGAGGCATGCCACAAAGGAGAAAAAAAAACTAAAAGGAGGTTGTAGTGAGGTGGGTGTTGGTCTCTTCTCCCAGGTAAGTAGCAATAGGATGAGAGGAAATGGACTTAAGTTGCACCAGGGAAGGCTGAGATTGCATATTAGGACGAATTTCTTTACTGAAAGAGTGGTGAGGTATTGGAACAGGCTGCCCGGGGATGTGGTGGAGTCCCCATCCCTGGAGGGGTTCAAAAAACATGTAGATGTGGCACCTGGGGACATGGTTTAACAGTCATGGTAGTGTTGGGTGATGGTTGGACTTGATCTTAGAGGTCTTTTCCAACCTTAACGATTCTATAAGATGGTGGGTGGGGGTGGCAGGGAGGTGAATGCCAAGATGTCTGTGCCCTTCTGCAGCAGGCAGGGCAGGAGAGCAGCAGGCACAGGGTGCCCCAGGGTGGGGCTGAGCTGCCCTCACGGAGGCCAGGAAAGCTCACTGGCCACCTTGGCCAGTCACTGCCTCCCTCACTGCTCCGGGTCACCGCTGCCACCTGACTGAAAACTAAAAAAAAGCTCAAAAACGAGAGCCAAAGCTTGTTCTCGGTTTATAAATTTTTATTAGCTGGATAGTGTACACAGTACTTACAATTGCATCTATTAAAGACCAAAATACACTTGAAAAAATGCATCATATAAAAAAAATTATAAACTTTTAACTATATACAAACTTTGCCTTACATGACATTAATCTCAGTACCCTCCCACGCCCATTCAACAAAGAAAAAGACCCCCCCCCAATTTTTAACATGCAAGGCCTTAAAGCCATTTAGCATCACTCGAGGACCATTTTCCACATCCCATTCTTTACACTCATACAAAATTTGGGTTTTGACCGTTCACTGCTCCAGAGCCCTCTCGGCCATCCGACCACATTCCTCCCCAAGCCTCTTCTTTTATCCTCTTCCACTCTCTTATGCACTCCTGAAGTGGAGTTTTTGTTCAAGTGTAGCCAATCCACAAAGAATTATTTAATTACTAGAGAGGTTTGAACTTGATGACGTCTCCAATTTAACCAATTTACCCAGGAAAAGAAAGCAGCTTTTTGGCACCATGGTGTTGACCAGTAACTCCAATCTCACCAAGCAAACATCACTTTTAGAAGTGACACATATAAACCCAAAGCAAATGAAAAATATGACAGTAGCACTCTGGCTTTCACATCACTATTTAGCCTATGAACAATAAGACTTCCTATATAACACAAATCCATAGGTCCTAATACACATTCTACAACAGATCAGAGAACCTACATATGAAGGGCTTACTGGGGAAAAAAGTTCTCCCTGTTTTGAAGTTTACAATTTTTTTAAGAAAAGAAGATATTATTAAAAAACAAAACAAAACACAACAAAACACTTATGTCAGAGCAATAATCTTGCTTCCCTAAATTCCAGCTCTCAGAGGGGGTTGGTTCTCCAAGACAGAGATCAGCTGTCAGCTGTGGAGCACAAACGTTATGGACAGGCTGGCTTACTCCAGCACACAAATATTCCTCTGCCACATGAATGCCCCACAGACAAAATGTACAAATGCTCTAAAAAAAAATATATATTTACAATAATGCTGCAAAGTCAACCAAAGCAAATTTTTTGTTATTCCTTCACTAAAAGACAGCTACATATTTCCTGAAATGGGTGACCCCAAGAAATGCCAGGTGAGGATTTCAGTCGCCAACGGATGAAAATTTTAAGGCAGAAGCAACCAAAAGCACCAAAGATGCCATCAATGCAACAGAGGTAAACAAATGCCTTTTAAATCATTAGGAAAAAATCCTAGTGTAAGATTTGTGAGTAGAACGTTAGATAATGAATATAACTTAAGACAAAATTGAAAGAAAGATTTATTTACACATCAAGAACCAGGCCATGTCCACCCATAGCTGCAGGTGTCAGTGTCCCCAAGGGTTTCTTTCTCAGCTTCAGTTCATCATGTCAGCTGTGGTAAGGGTAAGAACATGGAACTAAAAATTCAGAAAAATGAACTGAACTCCACTTAGAAAATCCATCTGCTTAAGTACTAACACCAAAAATGCGTTTCCTCTTGGTTCTTTCACTGGCTATGCACCCCCATGGGCAGCTGACCTAAACACGGTCATCCTTAGCACCTTAACCAGGCTTACTCTTCCTCAGACTGCCTGCATGCAACGTAGAATTGCACATTTTTCCACATTCCTTCCCATCTTCTCTTCTGTCCAGTATTTTTCTCTTTTTATCCAAAGTAAATAGAATTTTCAAGGCTCTTTTTGTATCCTCCCAGTCTTCTACCACTTGCTAATTTGGTCTCCATTTTGCATAAGCTTTCAGTAAATGGGAAAAACATAGAGGGGAGAGAATAAAGGTTGTATTTTTCAAGTTGAATTTACTTTTTTTTTGTCACTTCAAAACAGAGTTCACAGAATTTCAGCCAGTCTCACCCGTCCTTGGCTGCTGGCTTCCACAACACCTCACCCTCTGCAACGTGACCTATTCAGGTTCACAATCCCCTTTTCAGTGGCAGTGCCTGGCAGTATTTCCAATCCTATGCTTAACTGCTGTGGTGCAGTTTTCACCACAGAACACAAAAATTAGAAGAGATGGGACAACAGCATGCAGGTGACACATGGAGTGTCTGTAAAACTCACTCAAGAAGGGAGGAGACAGCCATGGAAAGATGCAAGGTCTGCTAAGATGCTTACAAACTACACCAAATTTCAGACTGGTAAGAATGGAACAAGCTTAAAATCTTTAAGGAGCTCTGGAATTAAAAAAGATACGTTTTGTTGAGATACATCAGCCAGAAGCCAGCTGTAGGTCATGGAAAAATCCTTTTTTAAAAATGTAAGTACTCCTCCTTCATTAAGTGCCACTTTTTTTTTTTCTTTAAAGAGAACAGTCTATAAAAAGCCTGAAAGGTTCATCAATAACTGCCTTCATTTGTTTTAACAGTCCTTCAGTGACATCAGGATGGGCTGAGTTGAGTTGCCCTGTGCTTCTGCTGTCATGAAACAATCCCTCACTCTGTGCAGAACGAGAGAATTGTACAACTCATTTAGAACAGACATCAAGAAACACCATCACGAAGACGGTTAAGTGCTATCACCCTAAGCCTGCAGATTTTATGTCTCTTGGAGGAACCATGTGCTGGACTGGCAGGTTAGAAGGAAAATTGAAAAAAAAAAATCCTTTGGAAGAGACTCACTCAAGTTTGAATCCCTTTTACACTAGCATCCACTTTTCTGCCAAAGCAACAGCTACTAGCAAAGACACCAAAAAACACCCAGAGATTGCTTTTACTCATTAATTAGTTCCTTATCCCCACATCACCCTCTCCCATCTTATTTCTTGGAACAGATACACGATATATATCAAGTCCTGTAATCATCTTGAAATATTTCTATCATTGTGACTGGATGGCTGAGCTTTTCCCACAGAAGAGCTTGCCATTTACATTATTTTACAAGGTGGAATTTAAAAGAACCCCCTTTAGTTCCTGCCAGTTTCAGAAGTGCAGATGCAGCAAAAGGGAACAGTTCAGTTGAGAATGAAGTCCAAAGGTGTACAGAGTGGATGTAAAAAGTCTCTGCTGGGAAAACAAAGTACCGTGCTGTGGCCATGTCAGTTCTGGCTGCTAGAAACCAGATTATGTCTCTGCACAGAGGGGCCATGGTTCCAAGAGGCCTTTGCTGGCCCTGCTTCAGCACGCCAGTTATTGCTATCACCCAGTCAGTGGCACACTCTCACCCATGGCCAATCTTAATGCAAGAGATGTTTGAAAGAAGAAAAAAAACACAAAAGTCACGAGCAGTAGACTCTGAAATCCTTGTGCTGGATCAGAAGAGTATAACAAGAAAGTCATTAAGTTTCTATTTGTTAAGTCAACTGCAGTTAAAATCTCAACCACGTACTGAAAACGTGGTGCTTGTTCTGTAGAAAAGGGTGTGACACGGCGATTGTCCCATCGAAAGGCTCGCTTGAGACACTGGAAGGGTAGGACAGGCTTGCAGAAGGGATGGGAATTCTATGCAGTTATTTTGTTTCTTGAAGCAGTGGTTAGGAGACTCTGATCATCTGTGTCATTGCTTCTTCATTGGCCTGAGCTGGATCCTACAGATACAAAATACACACCGTGTTGTAACTGCAACATTTTTCCATAACAGCAGAGAGACTCCTGTACAGCTATCAAGAGGAGATCCTCCTGCCTCCTCCATCTCTAAACATCTCATTGTTCCTGGATTTTACAGCCCAGTGTAAGAGAATGGGATCTCTCAATCTTCACACTTCTGAGTAACGTGTTGTTTCTGGTAACAGGGAACACCTAACACTGGTCTAGTATTTGGGAAGGATCCTACTTCAGAATAAGAAATATGCTTCCACTAAAGCCACAGGACTGCTTTAAATCAACTAATCAACAACAGAATTTGCTAATTTTACTCTTTTGTGTCCCTTCCTTTGAAGATTCATCTTGCACTTTTTATGTAAATCAGTATGCAGCTGAGAATCAGATATTCACATATTTAATTTTCCATCAGATGTAAGATAAGGTGTCTCTACCTTTAATACAAGTCCTAAGAAAATACTTATGATATTGCAGCCAGAAAGGCTGCAACAATTGTATGTCTTTGGACAAACAAATAGAAGCATTCTGTGTAAAACACAATGAATATATTTCTATCAAGGTTACTATAATTTAAATCTCAAGGCAAATAGACACTTGTTCTCTGTAAGAAGTCAGGTTTCTTTACAATGCCTGCAACTAATTCAAAGGCAGAGGGGAACAAAGAGGAACAGAGGGGAACCAAACAGAACAGTATAAAGACACCTCTGAAGTGTATTCTGGAGAACTGGAAGTGGCAGCTGGCCAAAGAACAGACAAAATCCTGCCTACCTGCATGTGAGGGCTGTCCTTTTCCTTTGGTGAGAAGAAACGCCCACCTTCTCCTCTCTTCCTGGCCATGGCATGACGATGCCGAGACTCGTGCAAGTATTTCTGCAACAACATGAAGGAGTTACTGAAAGACCAGGCTGCTATTTCTAGTCCAGTGCTTTCAGGAGGGGAAATTCCTGACCACAAGAAAAGCCTACCTAGTCCTTCCCCATTCCCACAGATCAAGTGTTTACAGTAAATGCCCATTTGCAACACAGCTATGTACACATTCCACAATTAAAATCATTGTAAGGAAGCAGGACTGCCACTAATGGGCTTGAAAAAATTGATGTAGCTTATGAAACAAAGAAAGAAATAAACTGAAGAACACTTTAAGATACTAGTCCTCGTTTTCCAGCACAGTTTTCTGTGCCCTTTTCTGAGAGCTCCCCTGTATTAGATCTGAGTTATATTCTCACCCTTCTTTCTTTGGGAATTTTTCCTTCTGCTTCAAGCTTAGCACGTGCCTGCCTCCTCTTCAGGATCCGGTGATACTGCTTGGCATTGACATAGAGGGGCTCTTCTTCCAGCATCTCTGCTCCAGGCAAAGGTATTCTCTGGATAGCTGGCACCGATCCTGCTCCAGGTACCATCTGTACAGAGATTATGTTTTTAGCACTTGTACCTCAGAACACAAAGTGAATGCAAAAAAAGCAATAAAAAAAACAAAAACTCAACATGTTAAAATGGAAGGTGTTTGGGTCTTGTTCAGATAATGCACCTACTTAAATTAAAAGGAGGAATAAAGTTGTTCTTGAACTGCAGAACAAATTTAAATAAATCAGTTACTTATCAGTGGTGCTTAGTTTTTTTCTGATAATGGTAAAAATTTCAACACAATACACAATTCCACCACTACATTACTGCCTCTTGTACAATTAAGCATACAGGACATGCCCATTGCTTCCTTTTATTTTTGGTTGTCACTTATTTAATTTATATGATAATTTCAGAGCAGTTCTTCAGCAAGTATTACTTGTAGAGCTGCTGACATCTAGTGGGGACAAACAATAAAATGCAAGTTAAAAGGCCTCACGCTGCACAGGAATAAGAACTGGCAGAAATAGCCCTCTTATGAATCAGAGAAACAAATACTAAGGGATCCTCAACAAAAGCAAGAGCTGATTCAATCTTTCTAACCCTCTGTTTAGCAATTAACAGCTTATTTTGAATTTCAGCTCCTAGATCTCTGAACTCAATCTGTGGGGGCAGGGAGGAAGAAAGTACAGAATACATAGAGGCCACTAAAAGTCAATTACATTGTTTAAACTTTAATAGTAGCTACTGAGAAGACTGACCATACTAAGGTGATGCAAATCTCAGACAACTTGGTGTACAGACACCTTGAACCTCAGCCTCTGAGAGACCACCAGGGAGTTAAATACATACCATAACCATGCCACCCGAATTGACAACGTTCCCTGCTACCGGCAGCGTCACGGTGACGGTCCCTTGTCCACTGCTGGTCGTGTTGGTGTTGGCTCCAGCCTGGACAATCTGTGCTCCAGCCAAGCTGGCTGCTGGGATGGTGATCATGCCTGTAACAGGGACTGTAACTTTAAGAAAAATAAAACGCAACAGAGAAAAAAAACAAAACAAAACAAAAACAGGCACACAAAAAGAAGGGAACACCATTAGTCCCACTTCTGGTTTTAACTCATTCATCCTTCCACAACGTGCAAAAAAAAAATCAGAAAAGCATTGCAAGCTCTTGACTAAATTCTACCACCTGGTTCTCACACTTCTTTGTTTTTTGCATTTGTATTTGTACAGTAATCCCAGTGTCAGAGAAAAGGTCACGTACTCCAAGGTGTAAAAGCAAACTCCAGCATTTCTATTCTAATAGCTCTTGCCAAAGAAAAGACATTTTTTGTTTTTCTGGAGAAGGAATTTCAGACTGAATTCCTCAACATAAACATCTCTTCTTCCACTCACCACACCGACAACTCACATCCCAGCACTACCAGCATCACAACTCTGTGTTTTCTCTGACAACAATTACACAGCAATAAAAAGCTATCAAAGAACTATTGAGAAGTCCTGCTTATTTCCACACCAAAGCTCATACCTTGTTGGAGAATGGTTCCATCAGCATTAACTGGCTGATAGACTATGGTCTGGCCTTCAGCTGCTTGTGCTACCTGTTGTCCTTGAACTGCTATTTGTTGCTGGGTCTAAACAAAACAAAGGACACAGTAATTTTACAAATTGCTTCTTTTTCAGATTCTACAGTTCCTGAAATAACACATGGTGCTTAAGGTGTTTCAGGCATCTATTTCTTTTGCTTCATTACCAGCATCAAGAAATAGAATGGAGCACAAACCAATTGAACTGTAGATAAAATACCTAAAGCGAATATCATTTTTCTAGTATTTAATCTTGAAGTAAATGAGTTCTAGGCTTTGGGTCTTGCTATGAATATGTTAAAGAAAGAACTGTTCTGCTCAGAAATTTAATTTTGGTTCTAAACAAGAGAACCAGCAGAAAGCCCCAAGTATGACTAGACTACTTCACAAAATGGCACAAGTATGACATTAGCAATACTTCATGTTTTCAAATTTCAACAAACAGATGAAAACCACCATGAACCAAGAAAATACAGAAACACAATGGATAAAAACATGCAACCTGCCCCACAGTTATGTATGAAAACACTACAAAAATATGACATTTATTCTCAATTTCTCCTCAATAATAATTCCTCTTTTTTTTTTTTTTTTTCCCCTTTTTTACTTAACCACACCTTAAGTCATTTGTCAAGTTTCTCTTCCTCTTTCTCTCAAGAAAAGCCTTTCATGCTGGTGCAGTTACCTGTGTCTGGCCAGCAGTAACTGCAGTCTGTGGCTGCTGTATAATGATCTGCTGGGTCTGGCCCTGCTGCCCCTGTACCTGCACAGCCTGCCCACCTTGAATCTGAATCTGACCTGGCTGGACCAACTGAATCTGTGGAAGAAAGAGTCAGAAAGGAACATTAACTATGCCTCTTATTTCTCCCTCCTTGGCCTCAGCATTACTGAATCATCTCTGAGGATGATTTACTGTTGGCAAAGAAAATGAAGGCACTGATTCTTCTCTTTTTCCATTGTAAAATTAAAGAGTTCTTATTTATTCCTCCCCGTGACACAGCAGTCACCACCACACAGGACAGAGGAACCATAATATGCTACTGTCATTATGTCCTGGCAGTTCTCCACTGCTTACACAATAAAATGGTCAGAAGAAGTAAATTATTCACTTGAAAACTAGGAATAATAACACACAGCCAAAAGTAAAAGAGGACTAAGATTTAGGATATCTGTCGAGTGTTAATTATTCAGCATACAGAAGTACTCCAGGATATATATAAAATTTGTCCTCAGCTTTGCAGAGAAGTCTGTCCACTGATGTGGAACATTTCTTAGATTAAAAAAAGAGCAACTGGAATAGGATTCTAAGCTTGTATTTAAAAATCCAGTTACAGATTTTACTCCATTAACCAGACTGTAAAGAGCCTAACACAAAGTATATTGTCTTTCAACAACAGAAATTTTACATAAATACTAGATAAACCTCTGAAAACAGCAAGATATAATGTGCCTTCCTGGACTGTGCTCAGCTTGATTCCTGAAACCCATCCTCCAATTACTAGAACACTTTCATTATGCCACTGTTACAGTTCTTCCCTTTGTTTTTGAGGAACACACTTAGAGCACCTGTTTAAATTTAAAAACTGTCTTTTAGACAAATATTTCAAAATATTTGTTTCTAATAAAATCCATCTTCTATACCTTCTACAGTGATACCTTCTGTGCAATGGAAATATTTAAATTCACTTTCAGCCATCACATATTAGAAGACCTCAAGCACAAAATTTATTCTGAAAAGGCTTTTTAGAATAAATTAAAAGAAAAATCCTCTCTCAGAGCCATAAATTGGGTAGGTACCAGATCACCAACTACACTGCAAGGGCCAGTTAAAATAAAAATTAAAAACACCAAACCAACTCCAGCTGTATTTTAACCAACTTCAGTTAAAAGCTTTGCACATTCCCATAAAACACAAAAATCCAATACACAAAGAATTTTCACTGCGTTCTCAGCACACAGCTCACTGCCAGACCCACAGCTGGAGAACAACCCTCTTTGCCCAGTTTATTTTAAGAGTGCTGAGGCAAATGTACTCTCTGACAAGGTGAGAACACCATGGTTCATCCTCTGCAATGTCTTTTAAGTAGAATTCAGGTTCTCTCACCTGCTGCAGTCCCTGCGTGCCCGAGACCGGCACCTGCATGATTGTCTGGCCCTGGCCCCCTGGCACAGCCTGCACCATGATGGGCTGCCCAGTGGATGTGATCAGCTGCCCTCCGCTGACCTGGACCATCAGTGGTTGACCCTGGACCTAGGAAACAGGAGAAAAAAAACAGCAGAACAATGAAAAAGTCTGGTGACATGAAGCCAGAAACTGAAGCAGCTACCAGACGAGGCTCAGTGCTTACCCACTGTAATGCAGGGACCAGGGAGACTGAGCAACAGCCACTAACCTGGGCTTAGAATCACCAAATACCTTTAGTTTCTACACATTTTCCCCTCATGTGCTACTCCATTTAGTAAATTATCTTCTTCTGCTGCAGTCTAACCAAAACTTCCAAGTCTAATTGCAATTAAAAAAAGCATGGCTAATTTTTCCGGGCACAATAACTATCCTCAGGCACAGCCTGAGAGCAAAGTGTAATGAAAGAAACTTCATTATCCACATCACTATTACTAATCTTTAACTGGGCTTCCAAATGAGAAAAAAGCTCTAAATAAGCTATTCTGACAAATTCTGTGGTAGCTTCAACTCTCTCCAATTACATGCTTAAAACATTTCCATTTCCTGATACAGAGCACGTGCCATTCTTTGAGAATCTTTTCAAGGTTATTAAGTGAAGTCATAAATGTAACAACATAAAATGTAGTTCAGTAAGGAAGAGTGAAAGAAAATGAGCAGTAGCCACTTCTTGGCCCAAGAAGGCTTACAGTGGATTTATAATGTGGCATAAGAGGCTTTGGACTCTTGGCCCAAGTTTGTGTTTGGTCACCAGGAAAAAGGCCCATGAAAAGAAAACCAGGGGGAGAACCTCTCCATTTAAAAAGCCTCTCCTGCTAAGTCCCCAAACTCCCCAAAATCTATCTTTGCCCCTTCCAATACCTCCAAGGCTTAAATGTGCAACGAGTCTCCTGAATTAGGCCATCACTGCCACACTGAGTTGTTTAGAAACAGGAGCAACAATGTGATATAAAGTCACTGGTTTCTGGGTTTTCTGCTTTTAAATTTCAGGAATACCCACTAGTGAATGCTCCCTCTTCAAGCACTGCAGAACACCAGGCCAAACATCAGTATGGATTTTTATATACTGAGCTACCTAAAAAAAAACCCCTTCCCTTTGCATAGTTCAAATACCCCAGTGAATTCTCTGCTGCCACAGCCACAGAAGCCACTGCAGCTGGACCTCAGTGACCAAGGCCCTACAGAGAACACTGTGAATTTACAGGTCACCCAAAACCTCTGCGACACCATCTCGGTCCTGCTGCACACCAGTCCCTAACAAAAACTGGTAGTATTTGTTTTGAATTACAACACAGAGATAAGCAGCATGCTCACGTCAGCCACGGAGAAGCACAGTCAGCAGTACAGTACCCAGAAAGCACAAAGGAAAATGGTACATTCCAGGATTCTTGTTAATGTATTAAAGCAAGCCAAAACAACAACAAAAAAAAAATAGAGGGACACACACATGCTGACAACCAGGAGGCTGCAGTGACCCAAGCAATTCAAGGCAGCCAGCTTTTCATATTTTAACTCTGAATGTTAAAAATGCTGTGTTCAGCTGTACACCTGACAAACCCATTCTAGCCTCTTGGAATTCTCCTCCTCTGAAGAATTAAAAAACAATCAAAACCAAAATATCGAGTGAAAAATAGACTACTGAACAGCTGCAGCTATCCAGGGCTTATCAGCTCCTCTAAAAGCCTCTTATGTGAGCTAATGAAATGAAGTTTACAAGACAGAAAATAACTTCACATTGAAACAAACCAGGGTTTGAAAATGACTTGAAATAACTCTGCCTTTCTTCCAAATTTGTGATGGGTTTACTGTTAAAGTAAAACCTTCTCCCGCATTTCCCTGTGTGAATTTGGGGGTTGGACTAGGTGACCTCTAAAGGTCCCTTTCAACCCAAAGTGTTCTGTGATTCTGTCAGAAATAAGAAATCTGATCTCCAAACCCCACAGGAGCCAATATTGTCCCTAGGTGCCCTTTATAATCACAGATACAAATGTTTCACTCTTCAAGCTCAGGAGCCATCCACCACCTCTGTCTTTCTCCCACGTAGTGAAGACACAGAGCTCCTCACAGTGGATATCAGAAATCTAATCTCCTTGAAAGTACAGGAAATCTCTGTGTTCTACCTCTTGACTGTTACTTGCTCATCTTGATGTTTTTCTCCTTTTAAGCCCCATTTCAGCCACTATTCACCTCCAGAACTACAGCAGTGGGAACTCCTGAATGCATTGGGGTTCCTGGCATGCACCTGAGACCCAATGGAAAGCTATAACCCCACACTCTTCAGGAAGAACCCTACAGCTCACATCAAGCACAGCTTCTACTGCTAACAAATTTTCCTGTTCCTATTTCAAACCCCAGAAAAAAACCCCCACAGCATTAGATATGTGGCGATGGTGAGAGTCATGCAGTGCTCACAAACATGATTATTAGAGAGATCACCACTACCTGGAGGGTCTGGACTTGCTGGCCTGAGGCGGATGCCACCTGGGCCTCAGTCTGCAGCTGGACAGCAGTGACACCACCCTGCTGCTGGGAATAGGAACAGGAAGAGCTTGAAACATGGAATTGCAGAGCTCTGACAAGAGACAATGATGCTTTGCTGGAAAAGGGTGAATTTAAAAGTCATACACGCTGCTCTTGGAACATAAGGAATGTGAAAGTGAATGCATTTAGCAAACCTTAAGACTGGAAAACCAACAAAACCACACGTGATACCAACAGGCTGCAATAGCTCAAGCAAAAATCACCTGCAAAGAACAGGAGAGAACATCCTGCAGAATTTAAAATCTCAGCTTCATTGTTTCAGACTGCTGCCTTCCTGCTCCACGTTCCCTTTCACAGCCCAGGCTGCTTCCTGGGAAGGGGTTCCAGATTTTTGCCAGGCTTGTTAGTTCCAATTAAAGGCCATAAATTCCTTCCAGCACATAGCAGCACAGCTGACTACAGGCTAAGCTTCACCAGTGTCAGCCCTGCACCAATGTCTTCCCACCACTGACCTTGAAGGACAATCCTTGAGAGGCTGCAAGAGCACTTACATCTAAAAAACCTTTCCTATCTTTAGCCTCTTTAGTAAGAGTCCCAAAATAATCTGCGTTAATCGTGTTAGCATTTTGGGAGATGAAGGACATCTCTCTGCTAAAAGTTGTACTGCAAGAGGCCTATTAAATATATTATTTTAGAAAAACACTTCCATGTCAAACACAGCATAGGCTTTATCAGTGTGTACTAAAAATGACACAAGCCAAGCAACGTTTTTACTTCCTTTTTACCCACAGAGTGTCAATAAAACCAAATCAATTCTTGGTTACCTGTTGGAAGCAGGTATTTTTGTTAATTCTTAATATACCACTTTTAACCTCAAGTACAATCTTGTTCTTACTGAAAAATTCAACTCCAGCTAAATTAAATGGAAGAAGCTGATCCCCACCATCAAACAGGCTGATGACAAAGCAAAATGTATCTCACTGGAAATATAACCCAGTGGCTCACTCTTGTGCATGACAAACTAAGAAAATCCTCCTGCCTTGAACTAAAAAAACCAAAATGTAACAAAAGTTCAGCAGCAGCAGAGCTCATCTGAAAATGCATTGCTGTGTCTGAACAGGTGAAGCTTAATAGCAGCAAAAAACTACAAGCCCTTAAAAAAACCCAGCCTGACTTGTCTGCACAGTGTCACATGAACTAGAAACTTCTCTCTGGAATGGAGGAAGGCCTCCAAAGCTACAGGTTTTGCTGCAATTACTGTCTGCTTGTTTTGATCCACTTGTAATTTTAAAACAAAGGATCTCAATAAATACTTCTTTTGAGAAAGCTAGAGAAAGCCTCTATGGGCTTAAACAAAACATTTTTCACTTTTGGGAGGACTCTGTTTCTTGTGGACAAGGGACTGTTGCTCTTAATAGTCTGTTCCCTCCATTTTCAGAGAGGTTTTGTTACCTTGTCACTGGCAGTTTGGGAACTCCCTACTACACTGATATTTTATTCATTTTATAAGAAGTATAATTATTTTAAAATTGACTTCCAACCAAGTCAGATCAGCGACAGAAGCCAGGTAAACATCCAGCCAGGATCACGGAGCATCTTGCTGGTTCTGTGAAACTCTGAGAAGTCCCAAGAGACCTGCAGCCCAGCACTGGCACTGCCAGCTCCCCCGTGAGCCCCTGCCATACCTGCTGCTGAATCTGTCCAGCCTGCACCACGATCTGCTCCGTGGAGCTGCTGCTGTTGGCTGTGTACTGCTCCATGGCTGCGGCTCCCAGCCGGTGACAGGGACACCTCGGGCTCTGTGTCTGGCAAGAGAGGTTCAAAAAGGCACGTGATTATTGTCCCAAGGTTTGAAGATCAGTGTTAATTGACAGTAGCTGAACAGCAAACCAACTGCTGACACCGAGGTCAGGATCACGCAGGGAGAGCTGCTGTTTAATCAAGGACCTACCTCTTTCCCAAGGTCACCTTACTTTCATCAAGTAACAAAACTACAACTGTAATTTCAAGAGCCTGTAACTTGACTGAGAAGCAAACAGCATCTCAATTCTGTCATTATCTCCAGTGAATCAAACAGCAGCTAGGAACCTGTTTCTCTTCCTGTTTCACCCCTCAGCTCTGCCTGTTCTGGGCTACAGACAGCTGCCTACACTGCACAGTGGTGGAGGAAAGGGGTGTTAACTCTAATAAAGCCCACAAATATAAACTTTAGGTGTAAAACCAAACTACCTTGCAAGAATTCAGCAAAGCTAAACAAAGCTGTCTCTCCTTCCCCAACTACACAGCACTCCTTCCATCTCTTTCTTCTTTTCCTGCTTTCCTATGTTTTGAAAATAGCCAGCAGACTCCTTTACTGCCTCTTATTTCTTGGACCCTTGCCTACACACATGAAGAACACACTGCTGAGATGAAATGCTTAGTTCCATTACCTCCTCCTTCCTCACATTCCTTCTCAGCTGACCAACAAAGGAAGAATTCTTACTATTGCTTTTAATGAGGTATTTGATTTATGCAAGGACTGAACAAGTACCTGCTGCAGCAGTGAAAAAGCAGCCTGTAACTTGACTCCTCCAAGCCTAAAGCAGCAAAAAGCCAGGTTCCTTCAGTTTTCAAACAAATGCACACAATATTTAGTCACTACTTTAACTGTAACAGTTGCTGTGGTTACTCCTGTAACACCTCTCACACTCCCTGCTCCTAAAACATCCTTTCTACATCAGTGTCTTGCATTTAACACAACAACACTTCATTGTTTCCACCAACTTATTCGACGTGGCCTAAGAGAACACACAATGACTTTTTTTTGTTGCTTTCTTGCATGTAACACCAAATGTTGCTTACCTACAAAAAGAAACTATTAACTAATATGTATCATGAGAGACCAGAAGTATATTTATTATTTGGAGTATAATATTCAGCCATAGTAACTTAAGAACTTCCTCAGTTCCTATCAGAGCTTTTGTTCAGAACAATGATCTAAGAAGCTAACCCTGGACATCACAAAGACAACCTGAGTCAGGCACTGAAAAGCACTACTAGTTATTGCAATTTTAACTCTATCCTTGGCCCATTTAGGTGAGGTTTTCACAGCCTGCCAGAAGAAAATATAAATATTCTTTCTGAACATGACACTGTTTACTAAGGTTCTTGTTTGAATTTTGCACTGTCTACTTAATTTTCCCCTGAATGCCTCTGGGCTTGCCAGAAAATGGTTCCCACATTTCATTTTTCAGGGAAGTATTTCCACAGCAAGCAGAGGATGCCAGCAAACTGTATTTGCCAAAAGTTCTCTGGCTTCCTTAACTCCACAGCCAATAACCAAGCACAGGCATACTCCTACTTGGGAATGCTTCTTCACAGAGCCCAGCATCAAGCCTCTGTCTTGTGAATTTAAAGCATCAGCAGCGCTGTAATCCTGACTTTGCCTCGCCACAAAGTTACAAACAGATTTTACAGACGGTTGATGGTGGATCCTCCAAGGGATTCTTTCATTCTCTCTGTTCACACCGGGAGCAGGGGCGTTACTGTATCAAAGTGAGATTGTGAAGACCAGTGATCTGCTCGGAGAGCTGCTCCTCCCACAGCTGATGTCACCGGGCAGCTCCTCCTCACCAGGCCCTTGTCGGCACTGAAAATGACTCGGTGTGCTCCGCTTCGGTCAGCATATATTTGTATACAGAGACACAAACACATGAGGCAAGAGCAGCTACAGCAACAACGCTAAGAACAAGCTACTGTGATAAACGGTGCCAGAATTTGAGACAGCTTGAAAGCATTTTAAAATGTTACTTCCTGCAGCAACGCTACTAAATTGGGCTCTCCGAGGCAGACCCGGTCGCTGTAGCCGCATGACCGTTGTACTCTGAGGACACGGGTGGAGGGACAGACGCTCATGCAGACAGGATTTCACTAAACGGCTCGGACAGGGCACGGTCTTATCTCCCACCGAATAAAACACGCGGTCCCCGGATTCCGTTTCCGTCCTTTTTATCGAACTGGCAAGTCAGGGAGCTCACCCAGGGACG